TAAGCAAAAAAATTCCTCAAGGGTATATGCCTCCATTTTGGGATTTTAGTTAATTCTAGGTATAGTCAAATTGACAACCAAGAACGGCCATCACCGGATCCCAGCAGCCCATCTGAAAAATAGGTTTGTCTGAGGAGGAAAGAGATTCTCCCTCACTTTCCTTCGTCCAAGGGTTGTTTGTTACACAGCCCAAGCACTGTAAGCATACACCATCTGGGAGGAAGCCAGCTTGTAAGCTGGAGCATAGACAGGGCATGGCACCTCTGTTATCATGGAGGAACAGCTGGAGCATAGACAGGGCATGGCACCTCTGTTACCATGGAGGAACAGCTGGAGCATAGACAGGGCATGGCACCTCTGTTACCATGGAGGAACACCTTTCTTCAGTTTCTGCTTCCTCGGGTGTCCCCAGACACTCTCCTTCTGAAGTGGGGGCCATCCTGAGGGATAGAGGAGTGACCTGGGTACCATTGGTTCTGGGTAGTTCATTCATTCAGCTCTTCGACAGACACTGGCTACAGTTCATGTAACCATGACCCCGAGGACTCATCCCGCAGAAAGTCCTAAGACACGCCTCTGCCCAATAGGAAGCTTGCCAAGATGGCCAACAAGGTGTGTGGAGGTGTGAGAAGAAAGGAAGTGACAGGGAGAGAAGCAGATATGAACAGGTGACATCTGAGCCACGAAGACCCCGGAGCATGCAGGCGGAGGAAAGAGAGAATGTAAAGGCAGGACCTAGGGAGGCAGGATGCATTCTGAAGCACAACCCCAAACTGCTGGTTTCCAGAACAGTGTGAATGGGAATGCTGGGAAAGGAGCAGGATGGACGGGCTGGGCAGGCTTTCAAGAGCCTTGAGTTATTGGATCAGAGACCTGACCCCCTAACTCCCAGCCTGTGCCCTTACAGATGACGGAGCAGGGCCCTGAGCATTTTATTATCATCAGAAAGTGACAAAATGTGGGCGGGGCAGTAGCTCAATAAATAGGTAAGGTGCTTGCTGCACTAATATGACGGCATGAGTTTGCATCTTTAGAACCCCTGCAAAGCTGGATGTCACAGTGTAAAGCTCTGTAGTCCCATCATATTCCTACAGAAGGTGGAGATGGCGACAGGAGAATCCCCAGAAGCCTGAGGGCCAGCTAGCGACTGTATACAGTGGATGTGAGACTCTCTCCATCAAGTGGAAAGTGAGGATTAACACTGTCCTCTGACCTCCACACACATGCCATGCCATGACCATATGCACTAGCATGTGCCCACACATGGGAAACACCAGCATTTGTAAACAAGTTCCTCCTCTATTAAAAAACAAAAGTGTACCTGATAACTGGGTGTGGCCCTGCCTACCTGTAATCCCAGTCCTCAGGTGCTGAGACAAGAGAAGAGTCACAAGTTCAAGGTCAGCTTTGAGACTCTCAAAAACAGACAAATAAAACCAACAAGAAAAAGTTGGATGGATCATGCTGGTCGGTGGCGGCACACACCTTTAATCCCGGCACTCGGGAGGCAGAGGCAGGCAGATCTCTGTGAGTTCGAGGCCAGCCTGGTCTACAGAGTGAGTTCCCTGTCTCAGAAAAAAAAAAAAAAGAAAAAAAATTGCGTCCTATTGAAGATCAGTCTCTCATGTAACTCATGACTCCAGAAAAAAGTGGGGAGTTTGGTCCTGCACCTGCTTACGGGATTGTCTCTCATCTGGCACGTGAAACCTCATGAATCGCAGTGGAGAAAGGGCTTCCTCAGGCTGACTGCAAGGGATCATCCATTATTTCACTAGCAAAGCTGGGTCCCAAGGCCATGGAAGGAGTTTGGAAGCTCTGGCTAAAGGCCTGAATGAGGAGGCTGGCGCAAAGGTAGGTGGACCGCCAGACCCTCTGTCTGAGTTTTACAGGCCTGAGGAACAGCTGCAAATGACTGGCCTCTAGAAAAAATATAATAAAATCTACATTATCATTTCAAAGCCTCCTCATACAAATATTAAAAAAGCAGGAAAGCGGGTACCTCATGTTGTTCCCAGAATCGAAGAAATGCTATCTTTCAGTTATCGGATTTTATTTCTTTGCAACATTACGTTTTATACATATTTATTCATGCAGAACAGAAGCACGGAGTTCTTGAGGCTGCCATGGGAGCGGAAGGAAAAGCTGTTATACATAAGAATGCATCGCATTTACGTCCTCACGCTTCCAACAATCGAACTATATGCAACTGCTTTTTTAAAAAAATAATAATAAAGTGCCTCTCTGGTTTGCATTTAATTTGCTGGAGTTTTTTTTCTTTCTTACACCTGAATTTTCATACGCCAGTGGAAAATGTGAAAGGGCTGTGGGATCCAGATCCTTGAAGATATAGACAGGGTCGGGGACTGGCAAGAGGCTGCTTTGATGCAGAGGGGATGGGAATTCACGGCTAGTTTAGAATTCTTTCTTTTTGTGACAGACGCAGTTAACTGAACTGCAAGCATTCGCCTTCTGATTTAATAACTCATTCTTCCTGCGTGGAGACCCGGCATATTACAGAGTTGAATATTGCTTTTCAGGTTTTTGAGTGTCAATGATAAATTCCCCTCTTCTAATAAAATACATTTTCATAGTAATTGAAATAATAATTTCCCAGGGACTTAAAAAGGGACTTTTGCCCTCTTTCTCTTTGCACTCTCTTGACCTTATTATTTATTTTCATTGCTGAAATCCTCTCCACCCCCCAGCTGCGCTGTGTGTTTCTGGCATCTGGGCTCCATCAGCCCGCTTGGTCCTTCCCTGTTCACAACCACAGGATGGCTCCAAGCACACAGCCAGCCGGCAGGAAGGGAGGGGGCAAGAGCTGCAGTTCTTTGCTGAGTTTGGCGTTTTAGCTTTATTTCTTTAGAGCTGAGTGGACAGATGTGGTGGCCAGACACCTGGGGAGGAGAGGAAGCTACAGAGGGGTGGGAGCCTGCAAATCCTGAAGTCTCACACTAGGCAAACTCTATGCCCCCCACCCCAAAACACCTCGAGGTCAAGCTCCGGGGCAGACCTTTTCCAGGCTGCAAGTAACGCCGTCCCCAGGAACAAACATGAGCAGCATCAGGAGCTGCATTCATTTCTCACTTATGAAAGCGATGCGGGCCATGACAGTAGGAAGAGCAGCGTGTTTAACCTGTGCCTCGGTGAGCACGGTTGCTTTAAACGCTGCCTTAGTGAACTTTACTTGAACTGAGAAAAATGTAAAGCTGTCTCCTAAGACATCCTTTCCTTCATGCTGACAGAGAAGAGAAAGAAAAGTGTCACTTAAGACTGATGGCGTTACGATGAACAAAGGAAGTACAGCCAGCTTTGGGTGGCTCTTTTTCCATGTGCCCTCACCAGGAACAAGGGATTTGGGGAGGAGCCTGCTTAGTTTAGGCTGCTGTTCAATTTTACCTCCAGCAATGTGTCCATATCTGTGTCTAGTTTTTCCTTACCCAGAAACAAACAAACAAACCTGGAAGTCAGGAATTGGGGTTTAGAAACAATCTTAGGCAGGAAGTCAAGGAAATCCCAAAGAGGCCAGGAAAACTCACAACTTCAAGGGCAGCACTTCCATTTGTGGTGTAGTCATTCTTTTCCTGTGGTGAAAACAAAATGCCTAAGGCTGTGTATTTTATAGAGAAAAGAGGTTTCCTTAGCTCACAGTTCTGGAGCACGGTACCAACTTCTGCTTAGTTCTGATGAAGAAGTTGTGGCAATTGCCTCACAATGGCAAACCGGTACTAGTTAGACTCACATGGGAAAATAAAACACCACAGAATGGGAAGGTGCCAGATTTGTGTGCGTGTGTGAGTGTGTGTGTGTGTGTGCTTGTCTGTGTGGGAGTGGGAGTGTGGGTATGAATATATATGTGTGTATGTATGTGTGTATATGAGCGTGAATGTGCATGTATATGAATGTATATGTGTGTGTGCTTATGTGTGTGTATGAGTGAGTGTGCATGTGCATGAATGTGCATGTGTGTATGTGTGCATATGTGTGTATTTTAGTGTGAATGTGCATGTATGTGCATGTGAGTATGTATGTGTGCATATGTGTGTATAACTGTGAGTGTGAATGTATATGAATGTGTATGCATGTGTATATGTGTGTATAAGTGAGTGTGCATGTCTATGAATGTGCATGTATGTATGTATGTGTGCATATGTGTGTATTTTAGTGTGAATGTGCATGTATGTGCATGTGTATATCTGTGTGTGCATACGTGTGTATAAGTGTGAGTGTGAATGTATATGAATGTGTATGCGTGTGTATATGTGTGTATAAGTGAGTGTGCATGTCTATGAATGTGCATGTATGTATGTGTGCATATGTGTGTATTTTAGTATGAATGTACATGTGTATGTGTGTTCATGTGTATATCTGTGTGTGCATATGTGTGTATGAGTGTGAGTGTACATGTGTATGAATGTGTCTGTGTGCATGTATGTGTGCATATGAATAGTGTACATGGATATGAATGTGCAGTTGTGTGTGTGAGCGTGCATGTATATGTGAGTGTGTGTGTGTGTATTAGGGATGAGCATGTGGATGTCAGAGAACAGCCTTCCAGTGTAGGTCTCCACCTTCCCTTGTTGGAGACATAGCATGTTCCTGACTGCCTAATCAGATCTGCCGACCTGAGCCTCTGGTGACTGATTCCCATCTCTACCTATTGAAAACAGTAGATTTTTTTGTGGGGGACCTGGGGATTCAAACTCAGGCCATCGTGTTTGACCAGAAAGCATTCTTCACCTGATGAACCTCCTCCTCAGCTTGAGCCCCACTCTTTTTACTCACAGCCCACTCTCAGGGGAACAACTAATGGGCCAGCAAATCGCTTCTGAGGGCAACATCCCCAGTGACCTCCCCACGTCCCACTAAGTCCCGTTACCTCTCACATCACCACACTGAGAACACAGCTTCTAGCACACAAGTCCTTGGGGGACAGACCACAGATGAACCACAGCATGTAGTAATGGAAATAATAATTTTTTCCTTCCTCATTTTTCCAGGCACTTGAAAAAAAAGACTCTTGTCTGGTTTCCCTTTCTCCTCTCCTCATCCATGTCGCTGGTGTATTCTTGGAGGTAGGCTTCTGCGTTCATGCACGTAGGGGGTTGGGGGCTCATCCATGCTAGGCGAGTGCTCCTCCTCCTTTCATGGCCTGGCAAGGTAGCCAGGCATTGAATCTTATTTTACTTCCTTACTTTTAATTTTTTAATGTGTTGATTTATGCTGTGTGTATGGATGTTTTGCCTGCATGGATGTCTGTGCACCTCGTGTGTGCCTGGTGCTCTCCGAAGCCAGAAGAGGATATCAGATAGACGGAGACAGGAGTTACAGATAGTCGTGAGATGCCATGTGGACACTGGGATCAACCATGGGCCCTCTGCAGAAGCAGCCAATACTCTTTAGCACCAAGCTGTCTCCTCAGCCCCCAGACACTGGATTTTAGTTATCCCTTTGCCTGACAGCCTACTGACATACTCTACTATGTCAATACTTACACTGCCTTGGGCAAGTTGATTTTGTACTTTTGTGGTAAGACTGTTGTATGGACTAACTGAGATCATATGTGTGACTCTTTTAGCACAATCCAAATCTCTAAAGCCACAGTGATTTTATATTCATTCATTTATTCACTCATTCATTCACTCATTCTTGTCCTTATTGCTCCTGGGCTTGAACGAAAACTACACTTCAAACGATGACAGATGATGGAATGACAAACTGTAATGTGAAATGTCCCCAGACAGGAGGACTGTGAGAGAAAAATCAAGGACTGGCCTAATCTTGACTTCTAGACAGAGGCCTGGTACTGCTTCCTGGCACCATCCATTGCTGCTATTCCCGCCTCTCTGTTTCTCTCCACCCCACCCCAGGGCATGGCGATATCTCTGTGGCTTCAGGGATCTTGCTTTGCATGGTCAGGGCTGGGGTTGAGGGCAGCATGGAGAAGTCTGTCATACAGTTCTCCAGTTGAGCAGGGAAGACCCTTGCAGAGGATTTGTCACTCCTTCATCTCCAGTCTTCTTGGATCCTGACCATTTGGAGATGAAGATTGTTCTAGAACAAACCCAATCCCTGACAGAGGCCCAGGGGCTTCTTTAGACAGGAAAGAGGTAGCTCTTCAAAGTTTAAAAATTTAAGAACAATGGCTAAGCTGCTCTTACTCGAGCAGATAACACCATGCTCCTGAGAGATACCCTAATTAAGTGCACCGGGGCCTTAAAAGAAAAAGAGACTTAAAGTAGGAAGAAACTTCTTGGGAAGAGGGAGGGGCTTCACAGGAGGGGGAGGGGAGAGATAAACATATATCACATATATGTATGAAATTGTGAAAAGCAAAACAAAAAGGACCAGTGGTCAATAGACGATGCTTTAAGAACAGTTTTAGATTTATAGAAAAATTAAGTAAAAGCCATAGGAAGTTCTCATAGAACACCCACAACCTCGACCATCCCACCATACAGAGCTCTCAATATCTCCCACAAGATTATGGGTGTTGTATCCAGTAAGCCTGTAGAAAAATCACAATTGCCTAAAGTCTTATCTTTTCAGTCCTGGAAGTACACATCTATGAATGTGGACTAATGCCCAATTACATCCATCCATCACTGTAACAGCACAGAAAGAACTCCCATGGCCATAAACATCCTATCCATCCTTCTCCTGCCCTGAAGTCCTGGCCAACCACTGATGCCTTTTAAGGTCTCCGTAATTTCATCTTTCCCAGAATGCCTGAGAGTTGCAATCATACAGTATGCAGCCTTTTCACACAGTAATAATGCATTCAAAGTTCCCCTGTACCACTTTGTGGCTTCATTGATCATTTAAGTATACTATACCATGTTTGTCCGTTCACCTATATCTTGGCAGCTTGTGAGTCTTAGCAATTTTGAATAAACATAGGTGGACAAAGGTTCCAACTCCCTCAGGTAATTATCAAGGGGCCCCAACTGCTGACTGTATAGTAAGAGTGTGTTTTATTTTATTAGAGACTGCCACACTGTCTTTCAAAGCACCTATACCATTGTTTTGCATCCCACCATCCACAGATAGCATCCCTGTTGCTCCATGCTTCACTAGCATTGGATGTTATTAGTGTTCTGGATGGAGACCATTCTAACAAGTGTGATGGCTTGAGTTTGTAATGCTCTGGTGACATGCAGTGCTAAACATCTTTCCATGTGTTTATTTAGCACCTGCATTTAATAGTGACCCCTTACCCATGGCAAATACATTCCAAGCCCCTACTGGATGCCTGAAACCACGGATGGTAGCAAAGCCTATAGGTATAATACCTGTTCCATCTTCACTAAGCATTTATCAGGCACTGTGACTGTGACTTTTGCGGTCTGAGGTGCAGCGAAGAAATTGTCTTTGAATTTTGTTGATAGATCGATTCACTCTTACTGTATATCTTAGCAAGCTCTCGGTGCACGGCTCTCTTCCTGAAGCAAAAAACTTTCACCTCCTCACTTAAGTGACACTCTATGGATTTTCTTTGTCATATGCAAGTTTCTGGCATTACTATCCTGATGTTCTGGGACAGTGCTGAAATAAACCGAAGGTGACTTGCACACAAGCACAGTAGTCCTGACGGAGAGTCTGAAACCCATGCAGGCTACCGAGCAACCAATGAACAGGTAGCACATACAGAGCACACGCATGGGACCAAAGGACAATTCCTACCCAGAAGGATGGAATAGAGGGTGTTGGAGTTCATCAGCCTTACTCAGAATCGCATCTAGTTTAAAACCTGTGAATTGCTTAGTTCTGAGATTTTCCACGTAATATTTGCAAACCGTGGTTGATTTGGGATAATTGAAACTTTAGCAATCAAAACTGCCGATTTGGGGGAGGGGTGAGTGACGCTCTTCTTGGGTTAAAGCATCAGCAGAGTTTTGGTCTTTCTTTTCTTCTGGTGCTAGAACTTGAACCCAGAGCACTTAAGCATGCATTCTGCCACTAGGTTATACTTCCAATCTCTGGTCCATTTCCTTATCTGCATTGCTCATTTTAGTGTTCTTTTTATAGTTTACGTCTCCATCCTTTATCAACCCCATCTTTTCTAGTCTGTCTCCTTCCTTGTAACCCCATCTGGTTGTGTTCAGTAGGCCTGATGGATGAAATGAAAAGAAGTCAGGGCTGTCATACAGGGCATGGATTCGTGGGGAGAATGCCTGAGTGAGTGAGTGACCGAAAGGTGTGCCCATCCCTTAAATACCTCCATTAGACAAGGCACCAAGTCCTGGGGACACATCCCTGAAAAAAAAAACCACAGTAAAGTTCCTAACTTTGCAAAGCACACTTTCTAGTAGGGGCACATACATTAAGATAGGGGTTTAAAATAGATGTGAGTGTATTGATATCTGTGACATCAAGATCTGAGTCTAACATGAGAATAGAACAAGAGAAGGTTTTGCCATTCCCATGGTTACAGTCTATAGTGGTTTGAATAAGAATGGTTCCCATAGACCCATTTATTTGAATGCTTGGTCCCTGGTTGACAAACTTTTTAACTATTTGAGAAGGATTAGGAGATGTGGCCTTGTTGGAGGAGGTGTATTGTTGGGGTTGGGCTTTGAGGTTTGAGGTTTCAAAAGAGCACACCAGGCCTCCTTCCCTCCTTCTCTCTCTCTCTCTCTCTCTCTCTCTCTCTCTCTCTCTCTCTCTCTCTCTCTCTCTCTCTCTCTCTCTCTCTCTCTCTCTCTCTCTCTCTCTCTCTCTCTCCCTCTCTCTCTCTCTCTCCTGCCCCAGCTCCATGCCTGTCTGTGTCTCTCCATGATGATCAGATGATCACAGACGTGTAAAACTGTAAGCAAGCCATCAATTCAATGCTTTTTCTTTTCTTTTTTTTTAAATAGAAGTTTCCCTGGTTGTGGTGGTTCTTCACAGCGACAGAAGAGTGACTTAGACAGGGTCCTTGACATGACTGTGCCTATATCAACAGTACACATTCACTCAGGGCTTCATTCAGAGCTCCCCCCAACGAGACTTTCTCCATCTAAATATGGTAGCAGGGTGGGCTTCATCAAGAAAGAGAGATTTAATGGAAGCGAAGAGGCTAAAGGACAATAAGAAGACAGAGAAATTAGAGGGACAGTGCCAGGGGAGTGGCTGCTGTGCTTGTGGTCTCAAGGAACCTGGTATGATCACAGTAAGAGAGAGAAGTATGGCAGCATGTAGAGGAAGGTGCCGATCCTATATGTTCTTGCACATCTATGGCTTTTGCTTGGAGAGAAATGGGGAGTCACTGGGGGAGATTTGAGCAAAGGAGCGACATGATCCCACTTAGCCTTTGACAGCATTTCTCTGACACTCATGCTGAAGGCTGGCGCAGGTGGTAACAGGGAGGCCAGTGCAGCAAGCTGGAAGGAAGTGATGGAAGAAGGAAGTAGCATTAGTCAGATTCAACTGGATTCCCCCACTGTTCACTGGGATTGATGCTGGAGTGGATGTGTAGAGTTTCATACATGCCACCAAGGTGTTCAGCCTGACCCCCGGAAGGATGGAGCTGCTGCGACCTAAGTCAGGGAGGTGCGCGGGACTGAGATGGGCACCGCACAGACGAGGGGTCACATTTGAGACCCGCTCTGCTCACACTGGTGGGCATCCTCATCAGGTGGGCTAGGAGTCCAGGGCCGTCTGTGTACACACTGCAGCTGGGTGCTTTGGAGGATCAAAAGAATAAACTCCTGTTCCTCCCATCCCCACCTTTGCAGGGACTTCCAGGGGAGGTGTAGAGACTTCAGGAAAACCAATTCATAAAACAGCCACACCCAGCCGAGAGCAGCTCCTTCCAGACTTTCTTGAGGTTAAAGGCAGGTGAAGAAATCCAAGCTGCCAAAAACCACACTCAAGAGGATCAGATAGAGGGACCTCCCCACCCTCCCCCACCCCCACTTCAACCACAACTGCTCACTACTAAAGAGACAGAGAAGGGGAAGTCCTGATGTGTTACCTTTCCCCAGTGGCAAGGAAATAGACACTTTGGGGTTTTTGATAACCACAACCATAGTCTGCTTACCTCTCCATTGCCAAGGCAGGCAGGCAAAGGAAGAGGGAGAATGCTAAGGGGAGG